CTCACTGTTTGTGTGAATATGACTCCTCTAGGAATCTCAGTAGGTGAAACTGTACAGTATTTGACTTTTCATGACTGCTGTATTTCCCTTAGGATAATGTCCTCAAGGCCCAGCCCTGTGGTAGCAGGTGCCAGAGTTTCTTTTCTTTTTAAGGCTGACAGATTCGAATGTATGATTTCACCACGTTTTGCTGACCCGTTTGCCTCTCCAGAAAAGACTGGGTTGTTTCCACGCCTTGGCTCTGGCCAATGATGCTGCCATGAACACGGGAGTATAAATATCTATTCAAGTTCCCACTTTCTTTCTTTCTTTTTTTTTTTTTTTTTGAGACGGAGTCTTGCTCTGTTGCCCAGGCTGGAGTGCAATGGCGTGATCTCAGCTCACTGCAACGTCCACCTGTTGGATTCAAGTGATTCTCCCGCCTCAGCCTTCTGAGTAGCTGGGATTACAGGAGCCTGCCACCATGCCCAGCTATTTTTTTTTTATTTTTAGTAGAGACGGGGTTTCACCATGCTGGACAAGCTGGTCTTGAACTCCTGACCTAAGGCGATCCGCCTGCCTTGGCCTCCCCAAGTACTGGGATTACAGGTGTGAGCCGCCACACCTGGCCCTCAAGTTCCCACTTTCAATTCTTTTCATGTAGACCAGAAGTGGAGTGGCTGGGTCCTGTGTTAATTCTGTTTTCATTTTTATTTATTTTATTTTATTTTATTTTATTTTATTTTATTTTGTTTTGTTTTATTTTTGAGATGGAGTCTCACTCTGTCGCCCAGGCTGGAGTGCAGTGGCGCAATCTCGGCTGACTGCAAGCTCCGCCTCCCGGGTTCACGTCATTCTCCTGCCTCAGCCTCCCGAGTAGCTGGGACTACAGGCACCTGCCACCACAGCTGGCTAATTTTTTTTTTTTTTTTTTGTATTTTTAGTAGAGACGGGGTTTCACCGTGTTAGCCAGGATGGTCTCTATCTCCTGACCTCGTGATCCGCCTGCCTTGGCCTTCCAAAGTGCTGGGATTACAGACGTGAGCCACCACGCCTGACTCTATTTTTAATTGTTGGAGGAATTGTCATACTCTTATCAACCTGTTTCCCCCTGTCATCTCTTGTCATCACTTTACACTACAAAGATTTACTCTAGAGTAGTCCCCTCATCCACAGTGGATAGCTTCCAAGACCCTCAGTGGATGCCTGAAACCACAGACAGGGCAAACCCTACATATGCTATGTTTTTATACACACACACACACACCAACACACCACACGTATGCATATCTATGATAAATTTATTTTATTTTTTTGAGACAAGAGTCTCGCTTTGTCGCCAGGCTGGAGTGCAGGGCGCGATCTCAGTTCACTGCAAGCTCCGCTCCAGGGTTCAAGAGATTCTCCTGCCTCGCCCCCTGAGTAGCTGGGACTACAGAGCGCGCACCAACATGCCTGGCTAATTGTTTTTTGTATGTTTAGTAAAGACAGGGTTTCACCATGTTGGCCAGGATGGTCTCGATCTCTTGACGGCCTCCCAAAATGTTGAGAATTACAGGCGTGAGCCACCACACCCGGCTTAATAATTTTAATTTATAAAATGAGCACATAAAAGATGAACAACACATAACTAATAATAAAATAGAGCTATTATAACAATATACTGTAATAAATGTTATGTGAACGTGGGCTCTCTTTGTTATAATACCGTAGTAGTTACTGTCCCACAAGTAAGTGAAACCACAGAAATGGAAAGATAAGAGATAAAGGGGAGGATTGCATAAAGATTATCAGCTGTTAGATATCTTATAACCTCAACACCTTCAGCCTGGACAACTCTCCTGATCTCCAGACATTTGTACACAGCTGTCTCCCTCCATCCGCATTCGGATGTCAGGGTGTTCTCAGAATTATCATTGCCCCGAAAGCGCCCCTGCAGTCTTCCATGGACACGGCTCCTTCCTTCCAGGTGCGAGGGGGAACATGCTGGCCCATCCTTGCTCTTCCTTTCCCATCGATGACACCATCATTAGAAAACCCTGTGAGCAGCCAAGTGCGGTGGCTCATGCCTGTAATCCCAGCCACTTTGGGAAGCGGAGACGGCGGATCACGAGGTCAGGAGATCGAGACCAGCCTGGCTAACACGGTGAAACCTGGTCTCTACTAAAATAAAAAAAAAAAAAAAAAAAAATTAGCCAGGCATGGTGGTGAACACCTGTAGTCCCAGCTACTCAAGGCTGAGCAGGAGAATGGCGTGAACCCAGGAGACAGAGCTTGCTGTGAGCTGAGATCATGCCGAGATCACGCCACTGCACTCCAGCCTGGACGACAGAGCAAGACTCCATCTCAAAAAAAAAAAAAAAAAAAAAAAAAAGAAACGCTGGACGTTGACCTTCACGACAGGCCCTGGGAAAAATCAGTGTCCTCACCCTGCCCCTCAGTCCCCCATCCCTCCTCCTGGAGGACCCAGCACCACCTGCCCCATCTCTCTGTGGCTGCTGTGACCTATGCAGGTCTGCTGTGACCAGGGCAGCTGAGGGTCCTGTTAGAGTGAGAGTCCAGTCGAGCCTCTGCTCTCTCCTAAAGGCTCTAGGTTCCTGTGTGGCCTCAGGGCCCCACACGGGCTGCCCCGTCCTCCCCGCTGCTCCCTCCTCTGGCTCCCTCTGCTCTCAGGCTCTGGCTGTGTCCACAGCTCCCAGGCCTGCTGCTACCTCTGAGTAATGCACTTGCTGCTCCCCTTCCCTCTTCCTGAGACGCTTTTCTCTTATTCAGACACAGAGCCTCCCTGCTCAGCACCTTCACGCCTTTGTTCAGACACCACCTCCTCTTGCCGTCAGATGATAAATTGTTCCTCAATTTGTCATCAGCTCCCTTCTCTGCATGACTTTCCTCCAAACACAGATCACCATCCCACATGCTCTCATTTTATTTATTTATCTTTTCCTTCTAGTCTCTAGAATGACAGCACCTTGATGACAGAGATACTTGCTGTTTCCTTTTTTTATTTATTTTGGTAAAGTATATGTGTTACATGTGTTACAGTTTGGATCTGTGTACTCACTCAAATCTCCTGTGGAATTGTCATCCCCAGTGTTGGAGGTGGGGCCTGGTGGGAGGTGATTGGATCATGGTGGTGGTTGCTCATGAATGGTTTAACACCACCCCCTAGTGCTGTTCTTGTGATGGAGTTCTTAGGAGATCTGTTGTTTAAAAGTGTGATGTGTAGCTCTTTTCTTTTTTTTTTGAGACGGAGTCTCGCTCTGTTGCCAGGCTGGAGTACAATGGCACGATCTCAGCTCACTGCAACCTCCAACTCCCTGGTTCAGACAATTCTCTTACCTCAGCCTCCCAAGTAGCTAGGAACTACAGGCACATGCCACCATGCCCAGCTAATTTGTGTATTTTTAGTAGAGATGAGGCTTTACCATGTTGGCCAGGATGGTCTCGATCTCCTGACCTCAGGTGATCCACCCGCCTCGGCCTCCCAAAGTGCTGGGATTAAAAGCGTGAGCCACTGTGCCGGGCCTCCTCTTTCTCTTTCCCCTGCTCTGGCTGTGTAAGACCTGCCTGCTTCCTCTTCACCTTTTGTCATGATTGTAAGTTTCCTGAGGCCTTCCCAGAAGCAGCGGCTGCTATGCTTCCTGTACAGCCTGCAGCGCCTTGAGCCAATTAAGCCTCTTTCCTTTCTGAATTACCCAGTTCCAGGTATTTCTTTATAGTAGTGGTAGACCTGACTATACATTATGTAACATATAATTTGCAATTTGTAACATTCTACAGGGTACAATTCCGTGACATTAAGCACATTCACCATGTTGTGCAACCACTATTTATCGAATTTCCTCATCATCCCAAACAGAAACTCTGCACCAGTTGCACAATTACCCCTCTTCCTTGCCTTGTTCCCCAGTCTCTGACATGCCATTCTACTTTCTGTTTCCATGAATTTGCCAATTCTAGGTAAGGTTACATGAGCAGAATTAGATACCATTTGTCACTTTATGTGTGGCTTCTTTCATTTGGCATGTTGTTTCCAGGATCACCCATGTTATAGCATGTATCAGTTCCATTCAATTTTTAAGGCTAGAGAATATCCCATATTGTGGATATGGAACCTTTTTTCTATCCACTTATCAGTCAATGGACATGAGTTTTTTTTCCCCCCCACCTTTTAGCTATTGTAAATAATGCTGCTGTGAACATTGGTGTATAGGTATCTGTTTAAGTCCATGCTTTCAATTCCGGGAACATATCTAGCAATGGAATGGCTGGATTACAGTGTATTTCTAGGCTTAACTTTTGGAAATAATTCCAAAGCGTTTTCCACAGGGTCACACCATTTTACATGCAGTGCAAAAGGGCTCCCACTTGTCCATATCCTTGCAAACAATTAGTAGTTTTTTCTTTTTTCTTTTTCTTTTGAGATGGAGTCTCGCTGTCTCACCTGGCTGGAGTGCAGTGGCACGATCTCAGCTCGCTGCAACCTTTGCCTCCTGGGTTCAAGCGAATCTCCTGCCTCAGCCTCCCAAATAGCTGGGACTACAGGTGTGCACCAGCACGCCCAGCTAATTTTCGTATTTTTAGTAGAGACGGGGTTTCACCATGTTGGCCAGGATGGTCTCGATCTCTTGACCTCGTGATCTGCCCACTTCAGCCTCCTAAAGTGCTGGGATTACAGGTGTGAGCCACCGCACCCAGCCAGTATTTTTTTTTTTTTTTAAGAGAAGTGTATGTTTGGTTTTATTCAGACCTTTACAAAGAGTTACAAACCAATTCAAAAAATTAAGTCACCCGTGGCAGCTCTACTCAGGGTATTCAAAACACAATGCAAAACCCTTGTGACTGTTCTTGCAGCTGTTACTTTCGTGATGGTTCTGCATATGCTACCAAATACCTATTTAATCTTTATCCAAAAGGCCTAAATACAAAGGAATTTATCAACAATACAGTAGGACTCTTGTCACCTCTCTGAGATCCAAACTATTCATTATAAGCAACTAACTATTTAGTTGTATCTATCAACATCATCATACCAAACATTGATTTATTTCTGTTTTTGTTTGTTCATTTTTATTTGTTTATTTAACATCTTCCTAATGAGTGTGAAGTAGCATCTCCTTTACAGTTTGGTTTTGCATTCGTGACATGAGTAATAATACTGAGCATCTTCTCATGAGCTGCCTGGCCATTTGTACACCACCTGGGAGCAAAGTCCAGCAGGGGACAGACCATGCAAGGCCTTCAGTCCAGGCTGTGGTGTTTCTACCTCATTCTCCAGCAGTGGAGAGGAAGCACCGCCCTTCAGACGGTAGAGGCACTGAACAAGGAGGCATCTGGAAGCAGAGTCTGGAGGCCTGTGTTGGGGAGAGATGGAGGCAAAAGGTGAGGAGGGTTCAGTGACCAGGGAAGAGGTGAGGCCCAAGGCATGACTGGAGTCAGGATGGAGAAAAGGGCTCCAAGATGAGCCCTGCTGAGGAGAAAGAGGAACACAAGTTAATGATTTATGGGCCCTGGAGGAGGGAGGGAGCTCAAGGTGGAGACTCACATTCTGGTTCTGAGTTTAGAAGTGTCAAACCCTAATCAGGTAAAGGAGTCAGGCTGGTGGGAGCAGAGGAAAGCAAAGAGAGAAAGCAGGTAAGCTACAAGCCTGCCTTTCTTCATGGTTCAGGACAGGTGGCCCTCCTGCACAAGTAACTCACAACTTTTCTGTGCCCAGCTATCATCAGAACCTCAGCTGAGAGAACAATGTGAGTTAGCTCACTGCAACCTTGACATGATCAGTACTCCGTGCATCCCTCTCCAGCACAAGTACCACAGGCCCCTGCTGGGGCGAGCCTTTGTCTCTTTGCAGTCGGCTCCCCTCTTGCCGCCTCCCCGTTGCAACATAGTTTCATACTTTCTCTAACAAATCTGCAGTTCTACACCTACAACTGTCCTGGTAAATTCTTTTTGTGGCCCATGCCACTGGCCTCAGATAGTCACTTACCTGTGACAAGAGGTGGGACCACTGTGTCATCAGTGGGATGGGGATCCCAGGGGGAGAAGCGGGTTTGGGGAGGGAGATGGGTGTACCATGCTGAGCAGAGCAATCATGGGGGCTATCAAGGGGGAGGTGCCCAGTGGGATGCTGGAGGGTGAGACGCCCTCAACACTCACTCACCTGAGAGACTAACCTTTGACAACCTATGCAGCCTCCACACCTGTAGCTGCCTTTGCTGCCTTCCTCCTGTGGGACTTCACTCTGAGTGAAAAGACAAGGACCTGTGAGTGTGGCCAAATCAGGGTGCAGGGGGCAGCAGACTCACTTCCCTGTGCTCTGCTAAGGCACTGGAGGGGACTGATGTGGAGAGAGCAGGTTCAGCCCCCAAGACCTCCACGATGAGAGAAGGAACCTCTCACCCTGGACACCCAGCAAAGTTGGGTAGAGAAAACATTGTCTTGGGTGAAATTCTCACCACAACGGGGCCTCTGTTGGTCCAGGTTCTCTTGACTGGTTCAGGACCCTCCAGCAACGGGACTCAAATTCCGCATTGTGTCCCCTGCCCTCCCTGCACCTCCCTTTGCTCCCTGGGGCAGTGCTCACCTGAGGACGATGAGACAGAGGAAGAGAAGCAGGATCTTTACAGCGGCCTCCCCGATGGCCACCAGAACCACCTCTGCCATGGGCCCTGATTTCCCTGCAAAAAGGTGCATGAGGTAGATTCATCTGCTAAACCACAATTCCTTATTGTTTCGCTCCTAATAATTGGACACAGGTTCTACCAGTTCTACCTGCATCCCTGCATGTCAGAAAACAGCCCAGGGCTAACCTCATCCCCTACCAAGACTGAGCAGCAACAAACAGAAGGCTCTGGCCCTCCAGACATTGCCGGCCTCACAGCTGAGGCTGAGGCTGAGCTGAGCACAGTCCTATTCTCTTGGTGAGCCCGGTGGACTACTTGTTCAGAGACCTGGGAGTAAAGATCATTGGGAGAGAGGATCTGGTGTGCAGCCCCTTGACACTCACTCCGCACAAAGAGCCTCAGGGAGACCTGCTGGGAACCCAGGGGGTTCCGAGCTCGGCAGGTGAATTCTCCTTCATTCCTGAGGTGCATTTGAGGCAGCTCCAGCATCCCAGAGTTGGGCTGTGAGGGGCTCAGGATCAGGTTCTCCTGGGCCCAGCTCAGCCCGGCAGGAGGATTGCTATCAACAGCACAGAGCAGGTGTAGAGACTGTCCTTCCAGGACCTGAAGAGATGATCCATTTCTTAGGGTTGTGGATGCTGAAGAAAAAGAGACAGAGGGTCAGAGTGACAAAGAGGTTGAGGGAAAGAAGAAGGACACCTACGGAGACCAAACAGAGGAACAGATTCAGACGCACAAGCAAAGACTGATAGAAACAGACTCTGTGAGATGGATCCAGAAAGCGGGGTGAGCCTGGGCTTAGAGCCTGGCTCAGGCCCCAATTTCTGTATATAGCCTGGTTTGGATTTATCTCTGCACTGATGCGCCCTTTTTGGCTGGATTTGTGCCCTAGAAATCACAGAGGGAGGGTCTCAGGCTTTACAGGGCAACCAAATAAGATGTCAGTTTAGGCCCATATTCCATGTCCTCTTCAATGCTCTCGCTGACACCTCAGCTTCCAGGTTCTCCCTGAACCTTCTTGTTCTTTATCTGAGTCCTCACCTGACACTGGTTTACTGACTTATCCCTGTGCCTCTGAGAGGCTCTCACTCCCAGAAATTCAGAGTCTGGTTGGTAGCAGGACTTAGGAACAGGTGCTCATGAGGCCACATGACATATGCTGGAGGTGACTCAGGCTCCAGTAGCCTTGGGGATGTCAGTGTATATGAGACCATGTAAGTTATATGATCCAGGAAGGCTTCCTGGAGGAGGCACACCTACTTCACACAGGAAGTAGTAGGGTATGGAGGACAAGAAGGGGTCGCTAGATAATGAGGGCTGGAAGGACATTCCATTAGGAAGGAACAGAAGGTGCAAAGATGACCAAAACCTGATCACATCCAGAAAATGCAAATAGACCTGCAGGGCTGGAGGGAGACAGGGTGTATAGGCTGGGGTGGAGGGTGGAGTTCAGACACAAGACACAGGAGGAAAAGTGGAGGGCTCTATTTCGGCTCACTGCAACCTCTGCCTCCTGGGTCCAAGCAATTCTCCTGCCTCAGCCTCCCAAGTAGCTGGGATTACAGGCATGCACCACCACACACAGCTAATTTTTGTATTTTTAGTAGATGGGGTTTCACCATGTTGGTCAGGCTGGTCTCGAGCTCCTGACTCAACAATCCATCCACTTTGACCTCCCACACTGTTCTGGTTACAGGCGTGAGCCACTGCACCCGGCCGAGATTTGTTTTAATAAATTCGGCACGGGGGTAATTGGCACCAATAAAAGAAATCAAGAAGTGTGAATACAGGAATAAATAGATTCCTGTACATTGGGAAAATCATGGACAGCTAAGAAAAAGCCACATGGGGCTGGGCACGGTGGCTCTTCCCCCTAATTCCAGCCCTTTGGGAGGCTGAGGTAGGCGAATCACCTGAGGTCAGGAGTTAGAGGCCAGCCTGGCCAACCAACATGGTGAAACACCGTCTCTATTAAAAATACAGAAAAAAAAAAAAAGTTTTATTGCCAGGTGTGGTGGCACAGGCCTGTAATTCCAGCTACTCGGGAGGCGGAGGCAGAGGCATTGCTTGAACCGGGGAGGTGGGGTTGCAGTGAGCCAAGATCCTGCCACTGCATTATGGCCTGGAGGACAAGAGAAAGAAAGACAAAGCCACAGGCCATATTGGGACATGTATTTGTAATGAATATTACTAATATTCAGTAATTTCTCAAACTAAAGAGAGACTCAAGAATAAATAATAAAGGTAAAATCACTCTGGAAAGCTGAGAAAAAACTATCAATGGGAGTTCACAGAACAAAAGAATAAAATGGCGCCTTAATGTACAAAAAAATGCAGATCATTCACAGCAAGAGAAACATTCTAATGAATGTGCACATGGAGATGCAGATTTTCACCCAGTATCGGCAGAGGTCTAAGTATCTAACCCCACACTGGGTTGGTGAGGCTGGGGAAACTCACGCATTCGCCCCTTCCTGTTGGCAAGGTGAGTTTGTCCTTTTTAGATGGAAAACAACATGGCCATATCTCTCAATATTCAAAAAACACAATGGCCCAGCTATTTTGCACTTAACGTTCACATACACACTTGTGAAAAGAGATACAGGATAAATCACTGTAGAATTCCTGTGCTCAGCTAAGTTAGTGTCATGATCATGAACTCAGAGATTCCACAAAATCAGAGTCCATCCGTGCAGTGGAATCACACACAGCCCTAGAGGAGGGGGCGGACCGTCTCACTACAGACGCCAAACCACCTCTGATCCTCCAGGTGCACACACCGAGGCTCAGAGCAGCCTGGACAGACCCTGGTGAATTCTGGTGAGGGGCACGGGCTTCTAAGTACAGACTCTGCTGTGCATTTTGAATTTTTGCCCATGTGACAATATCGTCTATCCAGAAGTATTAGGTCAGAACTACCGGGGAAAATTAAAAGGTGAGGCTGAATGTGTATTCCGGGAGTGGATCATCAGGGGCCTTGGGGTTGGGTCTGCTGCGTGACTGTCACCCTGCCCTTGCAGTGGGGCCAAGGTGTGTGTGTGTGTGTTCAGGATTCTGAAGGGAGTGGGGGAGGGGAGGGGACAGTTGCTCAGGTGGCCACTGGGCCTGAGGATGCAGAGAGGCCCTGGGTTCACCCACATGGGGGTCTCAGGTCACCAGGGTGAGTCCAGGATGAGGAGGAACCTGGCCCTGCCCTGAGCTGGAGGCCCTGCTTCCCCAGCCCCAGGGAGGGAGCACCATCCTACCTGTGCCATCTCCTTGGAAGACAGTCAAGGTCAAGTTCTGAGGAGGGTCTGGGACAGAAAGACACAGCGACTCACATCACTGTGAGGGCTGGGGACACCGGCTCTCTCACCCCAGAGGTTGCATAAAGAGGGAAGGCAGAGCCAGTGTCCTCCTGACCCCCCATTCCAAGCCCAAATTCTGGGACTCAGCACCTGTGTCCAGCTCTGACCCCCGTCTCCTGCTATCAGCGACCCCACCCCATCAGGGACCTGGATGTCCTGGCCCAGCTCTCACAGGATACATTAAGTCGGATGGTCCTGGTCGTGGTTACACCGGCCCCGGGCAAGGTCACCTGACAGGTGAGTCTGCTGCCGTGGTCCTGGGGCTGTGGGATGAGGGTGGCCACCGAGGAGAGGGCTGTGGTGGGGCTCAGCGGGGACAGGGACACAGAGGTCCCAATCCAGGAGAAGATGGGGGGTGTCCCCTGCTCACAGGCCCAGGGCACAGAGCAGGTCAGGTTCCTGGGGCGGCCGGACTTCAGGGTCCCTGGGATGAGGATGTCCGGCCTGTGGGTCAGGGCTGGTGAGGAGATGGGGATGCAGGATCAGGAAGGGGTTCTGAGGTGCAGCCCAGGAGAAGCGCAGGCTCTGGTTCAGGTCTTCCCCTGTGCCTGATTCACTTTGCCCTTTACCCTTTCCCAGCCCAGCCCTGCCTTGCAGCCCCCATGACCTCTCCCTGTGGCTGCTCCTGGATCCCGTGCCTTACCTGTCACATGCACAGACAACGGGGGACTTTTGTAATTATATTTCATCCATCCTTCCTCCATACGAAAGAAGTACAAACCGCTGTCCCTCCTCCTGGCGTCTGTGATGCTCAGGGAGCAGTTTTTCTCCCTGGGATTACCCAGGAGGCGGAATCGACCCCGGGTCTCCTCCCGCACTTCTCGAGCAGGATCGTTTGTGGCCACTGGAGCATCCCGTAAAGGATTGTCTCCTTCCCGGAACCAGTAGCCATGATCACGGTCATTCCTGCTGAAGGGGTACCTCGGATTGAAGAAAGTGCAGGGCACGAGGACGCACAGACCCTCCTGCACCATCACCGACTCCGGCACCTCCAGATGGAATAAGCCCTCCAGAGCCAGGGCCCCTGTGGAGACACGAGGGTCAGGTCGGCTCATGCCCGGACAGCCCCTCTCCCTGGGGCCACTCACCTGCCCACAGCAGGGGCAGCAGCAGCAACAGCATCTCTGAGGCGGAGGCTCCCTGCGCTCCCCCTGTGAGGACAGAAGGGGAACGGAGTGGAGGGGAAGGGCTGTGGGGCCTAACGGGAAGCTGAGGAGGAAGAGGAACCTGAGACCCACAAGTCAGAGCTCCACACTGATTGGACGGAAACCGCATGGCCCAGAGAACCCAGCCACCGGCCCAGAGAGGAGAGGAGATGGAGCAGAAACTGATTCTTACCACAGCCTGGATCAGGACCTCTGGGGACATCCGAGCCATGGGACACTCGTGAAGATCTAAAAAAAGAAATTGCTGGGCTAAAGGCTACCTGTGTGTTTAACTTTGGCAGGAATTGACAAACTGCTGTCCAAAATGGCATGGACTTTGACCACTCCTCCCAGCCATGTGCCAGAATTCCAGTAGCTCCACGTCCTCATCAATGCTTGGTATTGTCATGCTTTACGTATATCTACACACTTAAATAAAAAATGATTTTTGAGGCAGGGTCTCACTCTGTCGCCCAGGCTGGAGTGCGGTGGCACCATCTCGGCTCACTGCAACCTCCACCTCCTTGGCTCAAGCAATCCTCCCACCTTAGCCTCCCGAGTAGTTGGGACCATAGGCTCACTGCCACGCCTGGCTAATTTTTGTATTTTTTGTAGAGATGAGGTCTCACCATGTTGCCCAGGCTGGTCTTGAACTCCTGACCTCAAGTGATTCTTCCTCTTTGGCCTCCCAAAGTGTTGGGATTATAGGTGTTAGCCACTGTGCCCAGCTTATGCTTCATATTGTAACAGTTCTAGTGACAGTGCAGTGGCATCTTATGTTTAAAAATGTTAAATTTATTTAAAGTTAGATAGGATTGAATTCATTCTTTATCATATGCAATTTTATGTGGGTTGACAGATGTATATAGTTATATACACAACCGCTGTGAAGACACCGAAAAGTGGCATTACCCGAACATTCCCTCCCTCTGCTGACCCTAGGAAGTCAATCCTCCCTCTGCACTTAGTCCCTGAGAAAACACGGATCTATTCTCCATCCCTGTTTTTGGCCTTTCTACAGAATGTCATATAAATGGAATCATACAAAATGTCTCCTCTAAAATCTGGCTTTGGTGTCATGCCTTTGGGGCTCATCTATGGGGCTGAGTATAAATCCATCATTTTAGTGTAATTGTTGACTGGTTCTCCATTGTTATCATGGTCTCTCATTTTGCATATATTTACCATTTGAGGAGCACTGCCATTGTTTTCAGGTTCCGGTGACTCTAAAATAATGTTGCTATAAATACTCCATTCAAGTTTCTGTGTGTGAACGTAAGTTTTTAATTCCCTTGAGTAAATACCTAGGAGTCAAGTGGTTGGCCAAACTTACACTTGGTCACGTGTAAGTTTAAATTTATGTGAAATTGACAAACTATTCTCCAAAGTGTATATACCATTTTGTATTCCTACCAGCAGTAGACGAGCTCTGATCACTTCACATCCTTGCTAGCATTTGGTATTATCCACATATTTTAACATTTCTTTTTACCTTTGTTGTACTTTTCAGTCATTTTTCTTAGGTATGTAATTCTACCTCATTCTTCTTCTATCCTGTAATTACCTAAAGACAAATTATACTGAGGATATTTTCATGGGCTTGTTTGCCATCTGCTTTTCGTTTTTGGTGAGGTGGCTGATGAAATCTTCATTAGATTTTTTCTTCATTGTTGTAAAACATACAGAAGAAAAAAATTACCGTTTTAACTATTTTTCAGTGTTTAGAGAAGTGGCACCAAGTACACTCACATTGTTATGAATCACCATGATCGATCTCCAGAATTGTCTTCATCTTCCCAAACTGAAACTGCATCAAAGAGGTGAAAATGCCCTATTCCTTCCTGATCACAGCCCCTGGCAAGCATGGTTCTAGTTTCTGTGTCCGTGAATTTGCCCACTCTACACACCTCATATAAGTAGAATCATACAGCGTTTGTCCTGCTGTGACTGACTTAGCACAATGTATTTAAGGTTCATCCATGCTGCATCATGTGCTAGCTTCTCCTTTTGTTGTTGTTGTTGTTTGAGACGGAGTTTCACTCTTATTACCCAGGCTGGAGTGCAATGGCGTGATCTCAGCTCACTGCACCCTCCGCTCCCAGGTTCAAGCAATTCTCCTGCCTCAGCCTCCTGAGTACTGGGATTACAGGCGCCTGCCACCAGGTCTGGCTAATTTTTTTTTTTTTGAACAGAGTTCTCTCTCTTGTTGCCTAGGCTAGAGTCCAGTGGTGTCATCCTCAGCTTACTGCAACCTCCACCTCCCAGGTTCAAGCAATCCTCCTGCCTCAGCCTCCGGAGTAGCTGGGATACCAGGCATGCCAGCACACCCGTAATTTTGTATTTTTAGTAGAGATGGTTTTCACCATATTGGTCAGGCTGGTCTTGAACTCCTGACCTCAGGTGATCCACCCTGCTCAGCCTCGCCCAAAGTGCGGGGATTAAGGAGTGAGCCACATGCCGCCGGCTTGTATTTTTTTCTTTTTCTTTTTTTTTTTTTGAGACGAGTCTCGCGTCCTGCCCGCCCAGGGCTGGGAGTGCAGTGGCCGGATCTCAAGCTCACGCAAAACCCGCCTCCCGGGTTCATGCCATCTCCGGCCGCAGCCTCCCGGTCAAGCTGGGACACAGGCGCCCCCACCCACGGCCCGGCAGTTGTTTGTATGTTTTTGAGTTAGAGAACGCCGGTTTCACCGTGTCAGCCAGGATGGTCTCGATTCCTGACCTCGTGATCCGCCGTCTGGCCTCCACAGATGTGGATTACAGGCTTGAGCCACCGCGCCGCCGCCTTTTTTTTTCTTTTTTAAGTAGGAGATGAGGTTTCACCATGTTCTGACTGGGCTCGAACTCCTGACCTCAGGTGGATTCTGCCTGCCTTGGTCTCCCCATACGGGCTGGCATTACAGGCCCTGAGCCACACCTGCCTCCTTGGCGTTTTTTTGTTTGTCTTGTTCTCTTTTTTTTTTTTCCCTTTTTTTTTTTTTGCAGACAGGGTCCTTGCACTCCTTGCCTCCAGCGCAGTGCAGTGACATAATCGGGCTCACTGCAACCTCTGCCTCTCAGGTTCAAGCAATTCTCCTGCCTCAGTCTCCCAAGTACCTGGGATTACAGGCACATGTCATGCCTGGCTAATTTTTGTATTTTTAGTGGAGACAGGGTTTCATCATGTTGGCCAGGCTGGTCTCAAACTCCTGACTTCAAGTGATATGCCTGCCTTGGCCTTCCAAAGTGCTGGGATTACAGGCGTGAGCTACCATGCCCCAGTCCAGCTTCTCCTTCTATTTTAACGCTGAGTAATATTCAATTGTATGTATATAACACACTTTTCTTATTCATTCACTTTTTAGGAATACTGGGGTTGCTTTTCCCTTTTAGCTATTGTGAATATGCTTCTGTGAACATAGATGCATAAAACTATGCTGAAGTTCCAGCTTTTGATTTTTCGGGCCATGTACCCAGAAGTGGAATTGCTGGATCATAAGGTCATTCTATTTTTAATTTTTTTGAGGAACCCCACTACTACTCTCTAGAACAACTTCACCATTTCACTTTCCCATCAGCAATGCACAAGAGTTCCAACACATAAGAGATCACATGGACAGCTCAGCAAGCTGAATAATGGTCACCCAAAGAAATCCAGTCTCAGCTCCTTGAGCATCTAAATATTACCTTACAAATAAAGTGTCTTTGTAGATTTTTTTTTTTTTTTTTGAGACAGTCTCACTCTGTTGCCCAGGCTGGAGTGCAGTGGTGCGATCTCAGCTCACTGCAACCTCTGCCTCCCATGTTCAAGTGATTCTCCCGCCTCAGCCTCTTGAGTAACTGGGATTACAGGCACCCACCACCACACCCAGCTAACTTTTGTATTTTTAGTAGAGACAGGGTTTCACCATGTTGGCCAGGCTGGTCTCACACTCCTGTCCTCGAGTGATCTGCCAGCCTCAGCCTCCCAAAGTGCTGGGATTACAGGCATGAGCCACCATGCTGGGCCACTGTACAGAGAATACTGCAGCCACATGAAATACATGTGGTTAGGGGATTGTCTTAGCCTGTCTGGGCTGCCATAGCAAAATACCATAAATTAAGCCTCCTATAAACAACGGAAATTTATTTCTTACAATTCTGGAGGTTAGAAGTCCAAGGTTAGAAGATGAAGTTGTCAGATGATTTGTTTTCTTGTGAGGCTCTGTGTCCTGGCTTGTAGATGCCGCCTTCTCACTGTGCCCTCACATGGTTAAGAGACAGCAAGTTCTGTGGAGTCTCTCCTTATAAGGACACTGTATTAGTCTGTTTTCACACTGCTGATAAAGACATACCAGAGACCAAAGACATACTAATTTACCAAAGAAAGAGATTTAATGGACTTACAGTTCCACGTGGCTGGGGAAGCCTCACAATCATGGTGGAAGGTGAAAGGCATGTTTCATACGGCAGCAGATGAGACGAGCTTGTGCAGGGAAACTCCCCTTTTTAAAACCATCAGATCTTGTGAGAATTATTCACTATCGCAAGAACAGCACAGGAAAGACCTGCCCCCATGATTTAATTACCACCCACTAGATCCTTCCCACAACCTGTGGGAATTCATGATGAGATTTGGGTGAGGACACAGCCAAACCATATCAGACACTAATCTCATAGTGGGTCCCCACCCTCATGACCCCATGTAACCTAATTACCTCCCAAAAGCCCCATCTCCAAATACATCACATTCGAGGTTAGGACTTCAACATATGAATTTTGGGGGAACATAAACATTCAGTTTGTAACAGGCATTTTACTGAAACCTTGTCATCTCCCATGCCATGAGTTTAGATCAACAAATAATCATGCAGAAAAAAAAAATATATACAGAAATTTCTTAGAGCAAAGCCTCTGCTCATTTTTTCAATAATCTCATTTTTTTAAATTAAAAGGAACAGAAATGAAAACCAATAACTTAATCTGGAAAAGAAGGGTTTTATTAAAAAAACATGTTTGCGGCTGGGTGTGATGGCTCACGCCTGTAATCCCAGCACTTTGGGAGGCTGAGGCAGGCGGATCATGAGGTCAGGAGACTAAGACCATCCTGGCTAACACAGTGAAACCCCGTCTCTACTAAAAATACAAAAAAAAAATTAGCCAACGTGGTGGCAGGCACCTGTAGTCCCAGCTACTCGGGAGGCTGAGGCAGGAGAATGGCGTAAACCTGGAAGGCGGAGCTTGCAGTCAGCCGAGATCGTGTCACTGCACTCCAGCCTGGGCGACAGAGCGAG